TTTCGCTATATCCAAACTAACATCCTACATTTGGAGAACTATTACTATGTCAGACAGTGGGGGTTTTCTTCATTACGAAGCACTGCATTCCCAGAAACACTTTTTCTGAAGATGTAAACCAGTTCTTTAATTTTGTGGCACTAAAACTGGTAATCTTATTTACACAGTAATAAATAGTTGCATTATGCAGATATTTATATCATTCTTTCCATATAGAATTGCATACGACACAGAAACTTGAAATGCAAGTTATTCTGTAAAATATGTTATATCTAGGGTGACCAACTATTGTTAATACATGCCTATTTAACCATTTTGTTGAAATACAATCACAGCTTTTATACTCTTCTAGTGCATGTTGAGGGAACAAGTTGAGGTGTAAGAAATCAACTCTGATGATTATGCATACAAAATGAGAGAGTGAACACTTCTCTAGATCAGTAAGTATGCGCTATTTCATGGGTAATAGGTATTTTCAATCCTATAAACTCACACATTAAATATCACCCTAACATTCTTCTTCCTCTCTCTACATCCCTTTATGTGTTCAACTTTTCCTTAATGCATGTAACATTTCTTTTGTTTGTTTTCCATGCCCATGGGAAATTTTCACAGACTGTTAAGTGCTATCAGTAGAATGAAGTCCCTCTCCTTATCCATGTCACTAAAGTGTGATCAGATTTTGTTCTGCCTACCAGTAGCTGACCAACTGAAAATGGTAAGAAATATTGCCATTCCAAGAGGCTACACTGCACATTCAGAGGTGCAGATGTACATTCTAAACTGTGATGGAAGCGATTTAGACATAAGTTCAATTTAGAACATTTGTTTCCAGAACAGATCATATTTGGGTTCACACATGATAAGCTATGGTCCAATGAAGGAGTCTTGGGCACAACACTGTGGGAGGTTAACTAATTAGATTGGGATTAAATCCCAGGTGGCAGTGTTACCCACTAAGAAAGAGAGGGAGATTTAAGAAAGTTAAATACACTCCATATCCCAGCAAGTGATAGGAGTGTAATATAAACCATAGGTGGCTTCTGTTTGTTACCTGAACCCAGTAGTGTAGTTTGTTAATGGCTCTGGCTGGGTTTAGATAACAAAACAAGCCACTTCTGATTTATTATGATAAGCCTCACCTCAGAGGCCTGATGATCAGGCACATCATGGTTCTGCAATCCTGCAGGTATCCCAGGCAACACTTCAGAAACACTATTTTCCCTACTTCCCACAACCACTGAAAACTGTTTCAGCATCATCATGAAGTGTCCCTCCAAAGTCCTCCAGCACTACTTTGGAGGAGCTGTCCATGTTTCCCACCTATTTAAAAAATACACCAATTTTGTGTGCAAAGAAGCATTTGGGGTTACAAAATGGTGACCCAGGCATAGGTACCAGCTGCTGTGTATGTGAATTGCCTGCTGACTAAATCCAGCAATCCTGTACAGTGCCTAGGAGGTATTTCCCCTCACCTCACCTTGCAAGAAACTGCCAGATTTGACAAGTTGGGACCAAGAAGTTTCTTGCAATGTTAGATTGTGCTTAGTAGAAAGGAGTTATTTGGGTTTTGGGGAAAGACTGTCAATAATTGTTCTCAGTTTTGCAACCCCCCCCCCCCCCCCGCTAGCATGGTGGAACCTGAAAAACTGGAGGGAATACTGCTCCATAGGAAGTATGCCATATTTGCAAAACATGCTAAGAAACTTTGGCTTCTCCATGGGTTTGCATGTTGTCAAAGCACAGGATGGTTTTTGTCAAGATGTCAAATCACCCTGATAAACCCTGGCCAGGTATAATATACGTTGGACTCATGGTGGCTTGCTGTGTGATCCAAACCCAAACAGCTCAACCTACCATGGGTAACAGCAGCAAAAAAGGAGTAACATCATAATAACATTACCACCTGCCATATTGGGCCAGTGCAAGAGGCCCCTGCTGCTGTCAATCTCTGTGGCCAGACCTTTTTCTGACTGCCATAGTAGGCAGTAATCATCACTTCAGCTCATTCATGAGTAGACTGAAGCCATGGATGATTCCCCTTCCCTGGTTCTGTTGTTAAGTGGTGTGTGCTTGTGTGTGGCAGGGATACCTGCTGGAATAAGGGGACAAAAAATGGGGAGAAGGAGGCACTCTACTCCCAGTGTGCCTGACCACCTGTTGGGTACATCAAGGACAGTTTGGCTTATATGCCGCACTGAATAGTTTTCTATGCAGAGTATCTTACAGTATCACGTGATTCCTCCCAGCTTGTGTTCAAATAACTTTTGCCACATTCTGGAATGTGTGCCTGTTCCCATCTCAAAGCTCCTGCAGCAATACCAAAGTCTACAGGTGAAGATCCTGGAGAACAAAAGATGACTCAGACAATACTCTGACCTCGGTAGGAAAGTCAGGGATCTGAGCCCAGACCCTTCCCCTTGCCAGTATTGCATAATAAAGTGTGCTGGCTACTTCTCCAATGTCAGAAAAGCAGCCTTGGAGGAGATAGAAAGGGCGTGTTCTGATAGGCAAGAAGGGGAGGAGCCTGGGGAGGCAAGATATGTATTAAACTGAGCCTTCTCCAGCCTCCCACCCCAAATGCCTATCTAGTGCAAAGCACCAAGAGGGAGGGCAGGGTGGTGAAGGTTGCCTCCCCAACCCTTTCCACCCTGCTGGTGTCAGCCTAGCAGAGGACAGTGAATGCAGAAGTTTCTGTGTCTGGGGCTTCCAAGCAGTGATGCTGCAGTCCACAGTATTAAGGCCTTAGTCTGTAGCTCTACCAGAAGCTCTTAACCAGATTTGCTCAATAAAACCATGCTGTATCTTTTTAAAAAAGTAATTTTAAAGTAATATATAAGAAAGTACCACTGAGTGTGTGCTTATCCCTCATAACTGAATAACTCAACCTTTAGAAGCAAGGCCTCACTTGCAGAACAAGGGTCTTTCTCACAGGCCTAGGCCCCAACACCTCTTCAAAATTTAAAGCTTATAACCTACTATGGCACATTTAAAGCACATTCTGCACATTTGTGATTCCTCCAAAGGAAAGATTCTAGTGGCTTCCTATAACACCGCCAAGTCTTATGTCAATGCAATGTACTAAGAAACTTTAAACACCAGATCTCAATGCCCTTCTCCACGTTGCTCCATTGGCACCACAGGCAGGACATCTTGCAGTAGAACCAGTGATATCTCTCCCAGTGTTCCGCCACATTCAAGTCTTCAGCTTGACAAGCACTTAGAGTTACAGAATCCATATTTGTTCAGCAGTGCAATATATACAATCAGCACAGTTCTGTGATAAAATTTCCTTAAGATGACACAACTTCAGACACTAATGTCTCTACCCCCTGTTGTTCCAAACCACACTGCACACCAGAAAGGGATTTATGAGGAAAGAATTCACCCTTTTCTACCCCTGGATATGGTACTTTTGAATGTGCAGAGAGTGGTTTGTTTTATTATTTTTTTTGCTGGGAGGGGAATTTGATACTCCCGCCACACATGGGAATGCATCATCAAGCACTGCACCCCAGTTCCTGTTTCATCCTGTATTCTTTACTTGATGTGCCAAATGATTGTGGCCCATTGTGCTATTGTGTTTTGAAACAATACAATCAGACCCCTAGGGTATTTATTTACTTATTTATTTGTAAATAATGTATTTCATTTCCTTCAATATGGATAATTTTTCTGCTGCCCCAGGTGCTGGGAGCAAGAGAGGGTAGTTCTCTATAGAAGTTTTCTCCTTAAGGTACTCAGTAGTCAGATGCTCTTGCAAATGTCCTTTGAATAAAGTGAATGAACTGGCTCCTACATTGCACAAACCCCACTTTACATGCACTCTTCCCACTCCCTTTTAATCCACTCATCTTTAAATAACTACAGCACAAAATCACCAAAGAACAAGGTCCACCTACAGCTTCATTCAAACTAAAATACCAACCCTGTCACCTCTCTCTATGCACCGTCTATTTTGAGATTAAGACAAACGTTAACCCCTCTGTAGTTTTATTTTAACGAAGGATTAGGAACTGGATTGGAAAAGTATCCAAACCATTTCAGGATTCTTTTCCTTTTGTCGTCTCTGCACCCCCATCATCGCCCACCGAATAGCTCCAAAAGCAGCTCAATCAATTAATCAATCAATATTCAGCTGTTTAGAATAAGAAGGCAGGGGGCAATCCTTATTTTGCCTCCGTATGCTTATTGTCTGTTTTTGTCTTAGCACAGAATGAGGCTCTCCATACTCACAATGGGGAAGAATTTCCCTCCCTTGCAATCACCATTGCTTCTTTCCTAACGTGGGAGATACTTTTGTCTTGAAACAGAACATCCATGCAAACCTTCTGAGTTCTCTTTCCTCCTAGATACAAACATGCAAATAATTCATTTGATCTCCAGACCATTCCAGAGAATGTTGGCTCTTATGGGTCAATTTCTTTTTCTTTTTATTCTGTCTTTCTTTTCTCTCTTGAGCGAAGGAGACAGTTACGGAAAAGCGAGGAGGAGGGGAACAGAATCTCGAATGAGATTACTTCGGCAGAAAAGAAATGTTGCGAGGAAGTGAGTTACCTGAAAAAAGAGGGTGGTCTACAGAAACTGGGGAATTCTACTTTCCTCGACTTCCTAGATGCCCTCGGGGACGCGCGCAATAGGGGTGTGGGGGTGGAGATGTGTTAAGGTTTCTAAGGTTGGATTGTGCCTGTTCTCCGCTCCCGTCTGCATTTCAAGGCTTTTGTTAGGAGCGGAACGTGTTCGGTCCCTTCTTAAACGGAACACAAACAAACAAGAAAAAAGGTCAGGGAAGCCAGAGGACCCAAGACGTTTGCCCTGACTGGGGTTCCCTCGGAGGAGCTGATGCAAGTGGAGAACCTTCAGATTTGAAAGAAATGCGTGAGTCTCTAATCCCGCTCGGACTTAATTCGGAGTCAGCTCCATCGAAGCCGGAAGAACTTACTTCCGAGTAAACGCACACATGCTCGAAGTGTAAGCCTTCAGTCCCTAGACACGCTTACCTGTGAGTAAGGCCCAAGCAAGACAACGGTATTTCAGAGTAGAGATGCATTGGATCGGGCCGTACCAAAAGACAACGGAAAACTTCTTGTGGCGGGGCAGGGCTGTGCAGATCTGATGTTTACCCTCCCTTCCCCACTCCTTTAAAGCGGAGATCTTCCGCACGCACATAGGACGAAGCAAACCCCGTTCAATTGAACGGGACTTCTTCTGCATAAGCTTCTTTGGCATCGCAGTGTACAGATCCTCCCAGAATTTCCCTGTTCCAAAATCAGAAGCCAACTCCCCTCTTTCTTTTGTTCTTGTCCGCCCTCCAGCCCCGCCGCCCCTGCCACTTACTGTGGTAAACGTGACCATGGCATCCGTATAAACGTTTGCAGGGAAGTCGACATGAAGAGAAAGAGGTGGATGGAAATAATCTGGTCATTCAAAATAGAATAGTAATAATCATAAACCACCCTCCGCAGATGGCTCGCACAGAAATTGCTCGACTCTGTTATGGGAGAGGAGACTTAAAACTCTGAGTCCCGCGAACATGAATCTACGCGATTATAACAAACCAGCTCAGCCAGATGGCTCTGCGTATTAACCCCTTTATCGCCACGCGTTCCTTCTGCGCCACCCTTGGCCACCTTGAACCCTCGATGGAAACTATCAGAAGAAACTCTGGAACTAAGTTTTGTTGTTGTTGCTTTATTTCATTTTAAAATGTTCATCGTGTGTGTGTGTGTGTGTGTATGTGCGCAAGTATATCCCATTCATGTCAGCCTTCAACTTTCTTTTTAAAAATGACGGAGAACAAAGTTGGCTCTAAAATTCGAAGGGATTTCTTTCTGAATCGTGTAGAGACAGTACGACGCACTAGGTTCAAGGAGATCTTTACTTGGGAGTAAGGCCACCGAGCTCTTGCTCCCTAAACGAGTTGTATTTAACACTGCACCCCAGAAACTTTCCCATCACTTCCGCATTTAAATCCTTCCCTCAGAAGAGAAACACAGAATAAAATATCTGTCTTAAATGATCTACTTGTGTTTGCAAATGCATGTTAAGAGATCCTCAAGGTAAATTGGGAGGAGGAAAGCAAAACTCTATATATTTCTTTTGCTTATTCTTGTTCTATCTTTCTTTTACTAGTTAATTTAAACCCTCTGTTGATTTGTTAGGCTCTCCTCTTTTCATTATCAAATGTACCAAGTTTTCATACTTTAGCCATGAAAAGTAAAGAAGAAATGAGAAGGGGGCAATGCCAACAGTTTAATGAATTTCTTAAGATTAGCAACCAGCAGAATCAATATTGAAACCATTTTCTCTTGAATTTCTCTAGCTGGTTCACCAAGAAGAGATATGATAATTTTAGCTGTGTGCTTCTTTAGGTTTTCCTCTAAATTGATGTGCTTAAATCAACTTTGTGTGTGTGTGATATGCATGCACCCACGCAAAGATGTATGTGTGCTTTCCTCTGCCAGATTCAAAGAGGAAGTGAAGAACTGGTTTAAACCAACATTTTAGTTGGACCTGGAGGACAGTCTTTCCCAGCCAAGAGTTGATAGTATGGAAAGTTTATTCGGTGTGCACATCACTGCAGGATAGTTTGTCTCAATATATTTCCCTTCCTTCTTTCTTTCAACAGGTTTTATCCATTTAGATTGCAGGCCCCTCAGGGCAGAGATGAGGTCTTTTACTTATAGTTATTCTGTCATAAACACTGATGGTGCTGCTGTGAAGTGTCCAAAGAATCGTAGCTAGTTGGACAATATAAAACCATAATAACTAAACAGATAAATAATGGAAATAATGTAATACTGTATTGTCTAAAGAAATCATGTCAGCTTTGTTAGCACATCTTTTGTGCTTGGCCTTTCCCTATTGTTTCAGAACATTTCTTTTTGCAACTTCCATAAGCATAGTCTTAAAATGTTGTTCTCAGCTGCCTGCTCATAATAGGGTCTGTGAGGCAAGTCCTTTTCATTTTACAGAGGGGAAAACTACAGGAGAGTAACTTGTGCATGCCCATGCAGAGTCTGTGACAGAGACAGGATGTGAACCTGTTTATCCAAACCTCCAACAAACCATCCTGATTTCTACTTAGTTATATTCACATGGACACAGTCATCAATCCAAAAAGTGAAATGTTTTTCATCCTGCTCTGGTCTACCTATACAGAGAATGGGAGGGGACTGAGTCTTTTCAGATGGGTGAAGGAACAAAATTTTGAGTGCTCCACTATGTTAAAAAAACCTCCATGCAAACACATATAAACACAGCAGGCAAAGAGCTGTGCTTACATCTATGCTCCTCGAATATTAGTTTTCTATTTGCAATGAATATTTTTTAGATGAAGGCTCTTTCAAAAATAATAACCCAAACTAATGGTGTGCTTACTGTACTGCCTCAGCATTCAGCTTCTCCATTTCACTTTTAGCCATCTTCTCTCTATTCTCATATCTGACTGTCTCTGCTACAAAAAATGTCAAATGGGTGCATATGAACAATGGGCAATTCTTAAGATTTTAGCAGGTTCCATGGAAAACATTAGAAAGGCATCCATCACAAGTCTCCTCTCTTTTACAATGACTTTAGCAGCAGTTTTTAAAACTGAGGATCTTATTTGGGCATGCACAAATTTCTGACACAATGCAACATGCACATGTACATACAGATATGCACAAACATAGATATTGATATAATTCATATCTTACACAGAAATTACATATAAATGTAGCATATGTAATAATCTATCATATGTAATAAACTGTTTCTTTCACCTGTTCAGGTATTAAAATTACTTCCTTTAGTATACAATTGTACCTGCCTCATCATCATTTTCACTGCCTGGGTTGGCTTTCACATTTGAATGACCAGGAAATCTTCTTTCACTGATACCTCTGAAATAAAAATATTCTTCAATAGTTGTCTGTCCTCTAATCTGTAAGAAAACCACTTTGCAGCTTCCATTCAAAATGCAAATACAAACCTATTAGCTTAGAGCAAAAAAATGTGATGCTACCAATTATTTGCATCTAATCTCCTGAAGCAGATAATTGCTAGAATTAAAAACAAATCTTGTGAGTAAAAACAGAGATTCTCTTCCTGCAGCAGCCAAAGGGTTAACCATTTGACATGCATTCACCACCTGGAAAACAGTGATCACCAATGCACTCCTCAGTCCAAGCATAAGGAAAGGGGATAAGCAAAAGCTTCCAAATCAATTAGGCTGCAGAGGAACTGGCTATCTCTGCTAAGAGAAAAACCAACCAGCAACTTGTATTGTTCACAACTGGAAAGGTCCCTGCCATTCTCCACTTGTGCCTGTGGCTGCCTGCAATCAACACGCCTTGTAATTTGATACACAGTACCTAATCTTGCCAAATATGCACACATTGGGGTGAGGGAGAAAGACAGGGACTATTTTCACAAAAGGGAAACGACTGGACTGCTTCCAGTTTCCTAAAATAAAAATGAAAAGATTTTGTTACTTATTTTATCAGCCAGATTTACTCTCAAGAGTTTATCTTTATAAAATGGCCTCTAAAGATACCACATGCCTTAACTGCATTTTAACATTATATTTTGAATTATTTCTTGACACACTAAAGAAATACTTTGAAGTGACATTTTAAGAAGAATCAAGAAATGGGACTCAGGGTAGGGATATGCAGACCGAAGCAGACTTGATTGCTGGGGACACAAGGGCAGGATAGAGTGCATGTTTCACCAACACCGCATGGTGTCTCTACGGACACATTTCTTCAATATAGGTAAATCTTTGTCATTTACTAAATGGAGACATGACAAAGCAATGCTTTTGGTGACATAGTTGCAGGTGAAGACAAAGCGTGCCTACCACCTGTGAAGAGGGGCAGCCCACTTATGAACAGCAGAGATGTGGTGCTGGGAGCAGCAGCCCTTTCCCCAAATTCTAAAGACAGCTTTAAGTTGGGAGGGGAGGATTTGAGTGGGTTAAGTGCAGTTGAATTAATGGTATTGATTTAAAACATATTATTACAATTATTGTTGCCCTATCGATTTGTCCATCCCATAAAATCTTATTTTCTCAGGTTTTAATGGGACTGTAGGTACCAGATGGTCACAGAAATATGGGACAGATTGGAGATGTATATCATATATCTGGATGATTCTGAAAAAAACTTGAGAATCAGATAATGAGAACTCAAGGAAATTTGTAAAAGACAAAATTATCTGTGTTTGAAGGAATATTGTAACAAAAGTAATATCACAATGCAACAAATATTCTAGGAATAATGACTGGATGGAAGTAAACTCTGTTTGAGTTGATCATTGTTTCCCCAGTTCTTACCAAGAAACAGTGAGAAAGAATTATGATTCTTCTAGTAATTGTTAGCTTTCGCAATAGCACCGCTTTGTGGTTGAAATATTACATAGATATTGAAAGGTGTGGAATGATCTGGATGTTGGGTGCCTGCTGCATGTACAAGTTTAACAAGTCTGTTGTGTTTCCATGCTGGCTGACACTGACACAGACAAGAGAGCAAAACACACGAGACTTCTGTGAGAATTAAAAAAGATGAACAAACAGAAGAAAACATGGAGTTTGTTTTTTTCAGTTTACTGATTCCTACTTTGGACTAGTGTCATGATTATGACTAATCAGATTAACTTTTGGTGAAAGAAAGGAGGGAGGGCACATCACTTTAGGAAGACTGTTTTCCTGCTCTTCAGGCATCATAGGTTTTGAAGGATAGCTCTCAGTTGCTGGCAAACAAAATAGATGTTCTCCTTAGGAGTGTGTTCTAACCTCCTTTTGTAATACCTTTTCTCAAGTTGGAATGTCTTGGCAAACAGAGAAGCCACCTAGATCTAGCAAGACTATAGATCTGGGATATGGATCTTTCTTCACACTTAACCTAACTTTTATGTGTGGAGAAATTTCCTTTCTCTACCATTAGGAGGTATTGCTTTACCTCTTTGTCACTACTTGTTAGTTTTGGAGATAGAAACTTAGGGATGAAACATTACATTAAATCCTTCTCTTGCAGTTACAATTTTTAAATTTTAATGTAGAGGTTTGAGACCATAGGATGGAACAATAGGGAGGCACCTAAGAATCCAACTGAGCAATATACACTAGAGTAAAAATGAAGGGGAAATATACCGACAAAATTTTAACGTCTGTTTTGGCCCTTGATCACTTTGTTTCTTATTACACATCCAAATCGGGTCGCAAACAAAAATGTCATAAAAATTTTGACTCAGGTCATGAACTCCACATTGGGTGGCAACCACGATCGCGACCATCTCCCCACTCCCCGAGTGGGCAGATGGCCGCGATCGTGCTGGGGGAAGGGGGGATATGGCCGAGATTGCACCCGTCTTTCCTGCAGGAG